TTTTAGAAAATTCTATCTAGGAGGTCGGTTTAGAAGGCCACTCTTAATAGAAGGCCACCCTAAAAAGTTTGATCCGACGGGACACAAGAGAAAGCCATGCCCTTCTATTCTGGGGGGGGGTTTAACTGCTAGTGATGATTTATATTGATATACATTGGCATAAGAGAGAACAAGAAGGCTACGGACGCAATTAATTTTCTCTTGCAGCCATCTTCAAAGTAAAATAGTATCATCTACGAAAATTCCTTGAATGTGATAATACTCGCTTTTTTAACGGACATCGGTGCGTGTATTCGATGCTAATGACGTTTCCTGCCTTGAGATATTGAGACTTGAACATTTCACCAGAAGGTAAGGGTGAGAGTCAAATATTCGAGTTTTTCAATATCTCAAGGCAGGAAACTTCATTAGCATCGAATATATTTCCGTCGTACTACTATGACCATGGGCTGCAAGTGTGGCAAGTTTGAAATCAAAATTCGAAAGTCGGATTTTGCTCGAAATCCAAGCTCTATAGGCAAAAACTGACTAAAAATCCAGTATCTCAGCAACAAAGAACCATGGGCACAAACCATTTTAGGCTTTTTACTATCTCGATATATGCTATCGATCGGCAAATGAATGAAGGAAAACGGAGTCGGGCAGTTCGATATGTTTCCTCGTAATTAAAATTCATTTTTCTTAGGCACGACAAAATGTTTTGAGCCGCACCTTTCAGCATATGAGTCATTTGCAACTTTATTGTACAATTGGTAAAAAATAATGAAAGTGACTTCAAACAAAATTTGATTAGCACATCTTGTTCTCCGTTGTTTTCTGAGTCTAGAACCCAAATTTCCCGACTACCACATGCGCAGCGACTGAGATAAACCTCAACAAACTTCGGCAGGTTCCGTTCTCTAGGTTTTAGGCTATAATGGTCTCGAGGTTGCTTTGAAAGAGGATATATCATACAGCATTCGATAGGTCTCGTAGAGAGCTATCGATTCATACCATATGTAACTTAGTCTGACCTGCACAGCAAACGTTAGATCGTTAAAATCCTAATTTCGAATGTGTATTCAAAAATAAAGTGCAAAGCTTGTAGCCTACAGGTGGTCAGCCATTTTGGAGAAACTCGACATCAAAACTACGTAAATTACTAAAAAATATATATTTATATATATAAACTAAAAGAACCGAAAAAACTTTTAGAGTAATCTCGATCTACATTTCGCGGTATATTGTAACTTTTTCCTACTTAGGTATGTTCTAGAGACTTGCAAATTGCACCACTTGTACAACTTTTGACACTCTTTCTTGTGAGTCAACACTGTTGCAGTCAGGCAAATCCTTGTGAAACAGCGGATGTCAAAAGTTGGAAAATCTCGATCTACAAAGTGAACGTAAAACCCTGTTTTCCATTTTTTCGCCCGGTAAGAAAGACATTTAACAAAGCATTTTTATTCAGTTAGATGCAGCCGCCCTTGCTCTTTCTTACGAACACCTCATATTCCCAAAAAACCGTTTTCTCAAGTGCCCAGTTTTATTTTTATCTCGATCTATAAGTTATCTGTAAAACAATTTTCGCCATAGACGAGCATAAACAAAAAAACAAAACAAGTATGAAGGCACATAGTTTGATAGAGCATTAAATGCTCTACAAAACGTACTATTTGCTTTTGGCTTTTCGTTTCTTCTTTTGTTAGAAAAACTTACTTTTCTCTCAATAACTCATCTAAAAAACACGTTTTTTTCGACTTTTGCTGAGTTTCTCTCGGTGAGTTGTTGAGATATCGAGCTTAGATTTTCTGCGGTAGTGAAGCAAGCAAACAGCGATAAAACAAAAAAAAGAATTTCGAAATCCGTTTTCAGAAACTGGAGTAATTTTAAAAATACGACAAAAACTCAATTGTACAATAAAGTTGCAAATGACTCATATGCTATACTTCGCAAAGGGAAAAAAGGATAAAAGATTCGTTACGAAAATTTCAATGTTAATGAAGATATTAGGAAAACAAAATTGAAAATCTTCTTTAGTATATGAAACTTGTTTTCGGAAAACGTAATTATTACTTTTTACAGTAAGGAGAGACTTTTATTTTTTTACCAAAATGATTCTCAATCTGTAGGCAATCTTGGTCACATAAGTAATCAGAACATGGAATATATTTGAATTAAATAAAAAGTATTATGACTGCTGTTGTAATAAAAGGATATAATTTATATAAGGAACATATTTCTGTAGATCCTCAAAAATATAGAGAAAATACTGTTCTTTAAAATCTCGACAAATTATAAAGAAAAGAATGAATAATTAATGAGGTAAGAGAAACAAAAATAATGCAGTTACTTCCTCCTGTTCCTCAATTTCAGAAAATTTTGGATATTTTTTAGCTCTTTTGGGACATTTTTAAAGAGTTTAATTCCGTAATTGAAAATTTCCAGATTTTCCAACTTCGCTAATTTTAAAATTTCTTTTTTAAAACATCGTCTGACAGTCTCTAAAATTCGGTAGCTACAGATTCTATCTTAGTAGAGCTATTGCGTCTATATTCGTTTATGTGGTTTTTTTTCCTTGTCGTCTTATTTATTCATCTTCAACCAGAGCTGATCACCTGTATAATTTTTCACCCCTGCGCGATACCGCGCAGGGGCAAAATAAAATTTATCCGCGTTGCAATTTGTAGGTTACCAAAAAAATCTTTTGTTCTGCACAAGCAGAGGCTGAGGATGAAAAATTCTGCACTTCCCTGCCCTGCAGGTTGGCTGCAGGTGGACCCTGAGGCGAGATATAACAATTTTTTTTCCTAGTGACTACTATAAGTCTGTATTACACACTGATAATTATAGACTGTATCAGCAGTTACGACTCACTATCCTTGTTCTATATTTTTCTCTTTCTGCTATCGTTATAGTCGTTTGTCTTCTATATACCGTAGGTAGTGCGCATAGTAAAAGAAACATTACATACAATAGGAACGAAATTCATTGTTTTTCTTTATTCTATATTTTTCTTTTAGTTTAGTTTAAACTTTATTTATTTAAGAAAGAGAAATAAGAATTCTACACAGATGCGGTCTAGGCCATTATATCAGAGGAAATGACATATCAAATGATATAAGTGATTACGGATGAAACGTTTCTCTCCTTCATCTTAAAATGTCTAGTAAACGTACAAAAAACAATGTTAGTTAGTTTCTTTTCGTTAAGAGATCCTTCTGATCTTCAGTGTGATCAATATATTTCTCTTGGTCTCCTCTCTCCTTTTGTTCTTCACACAAAAACGTCTTTCCCTGCAGTGAATGCAGGTAAAATCTTCTCTCCTACAGGGAGTGCAGGCAGGAAAACATTCTTCTTTATCTGCCGGCCGTTAGTGGAAAATTTTTTCATTCACCTGCAAACTGCAACCTGCCTGCACTGCCTGCAGGTTGCAGGCAGTTTACAATGCAGGTGATTAGCTCTGTCTTCAACGTGTTATCATTCTCAAAATTGAATAAGTGAAAAATAACTAAGAACATGAACAACGAAAACATTTTCTATATGATTTTTTCCGATTTTTCTTTAATCTTTCAATAGCATATTTTGGTTCTAATAGATCTTTATGTGTAGATGGTTGAATTTTTGAAACTAGTTCTAATGATATCTGATAATATTCTAACGCATCTATGAAATTATGACTTAATTCATACAACTCACCAATATTAAAATAAATTAATGCATAATATATTTCTTTTTCACTTGTTGTTATTGTGTGATAAAACTCTAATGCTTTTTTATAATAATCAAGACCTTGCTGATAATCACCTTTGAATGTGTAAACCTTACCCATATTTTTATACCATGCACCAAGATTTATATGATCACTTGGTAAATACTGATCATATATGTTTTTCGCAAATTGTAAACAGTTAAAAGCTTTCTCAAATTGATTCATTCGAGTATGAATCAGACCCATATTATTGTAAATTAGTGCTATATTTTCATAATTTGGAGATGTTGATTGAAGAATATGTTGATAATAGTGTAAACTGAGAAGAAAAGAGTTATTACCGTTTTGAGTATCATTAAAAATATTTTCTAAGTGTCCTTTATCGAGATATAATCGTGCTATATCAAAATACGTTATTATTATTGATGGATGATTTTCTGGTAAATATTTTTGTTTAATTTTTAATGATTGTTCGAAATGTTTTGATCCGAGCGAATAATCACCCTTTGCACAGTATGCTTCGCCAAGTGTACTATGTGTAATACCAATTAAGGGATGAGCTTCCGGTAAATATTTTGATCTTATGTCTAAAACTAGTTTTAAATTTTCTATCGAATTATCTATTTGATTCGGATCTGTATTTGGTCTTAATGTTGTTATGTTATTTATAGTTGTTGCAATAAGACATTCATCCCGTTCGGATGAACTTAATCCTAACTGTAATGCTGCTTCATAATATTTGAGTGCTAATGAAATATTAGCGTCTCCTTTTTTCTCTTTATGAAGCAATCCAATATTATGATAACATGTTGATAATAAATCGAGGTTGTCTGGATTATATTTTAGTTGTAATTCTAGCGCCGTTTCATAATTTTTTAATGCTAATTCATAATTTGTTTTACTTGAATAAGCTTGTCCAATAAAATTAT